TCTGCTTTTATTTTCTATTATTTTGATTTATTCTTTCGATTGCGGTAGTCGAAAGAACAACATAATGAACTTTACTCGTGTATCAAAATCATGCATGAACTCAACCTGGTATAAAAATCATACATGAATCAACAAATGTATATCTCATCTATACATGATTTAGCTTCCGGCGTGGGAAACACAGTGTCTATTTCCATTTGTATTTTATTATCCTCACCGTACAATAAATTTGAAGTAATACTTAAATCTTTGAAAAACTGATGCTAACATTGACTTTAATCCAACCTACAACAGACTGCCTTAGTTCATCTCTTATGAACCATCTCATACATTTTCTCTTGCTTATATGGAGTTATATATTTGCATTTCTTCATTGATATAGCATCATGGCATCCGCTTCGACAGGAATCGATTTTGAGCAGTATTCTGAATTCTGAACGGTCTACCACGTTGATTGTTCCGTTAATTTTGACATACCGAAATTAATTAGTGTGTGAATGAGATATATATTTGTGTGCATATATTATTTTGATACAAAGTGAGTTCATGTATAATTTAAATATAGATGGTAAAGTTCGTGCATGGTTCGGATACATGAGTTCGTGTATAACCTCTAGGGGAAATTACCTAAAACCAGATGTTTAAAAAATGATTTTCAAAAATTAGGTTTAAAGTTTAATTATTCAAAAATTAGGTAATAATTTTACATTTAATTAATATTAAACATAATATTATTAACCATAATTTTATCAATTCCACCATCTCTCCCCCTCCCTTCTCCCCCTCCCTTCCCCTCTCTCCCTGTGAACAGAAGCGTCGCGACGGCATAGCAACGTTGCGACGCTGTGAACACGGCAGCATCGCGACCTACTGTGAACGTCAGAGTGCGAGGGTGTATGTGCAGTGGCAAAGTAGAGTTGTGGTGATGGTGTTGATACTGGTTGTGGTGGATTCAAATTTGGTTGGTGGTGATGGTGCTAGTGTGTGGTGGGTGTGTTTGTGGGTGCGATGGTATTGGAGACGTGGTGGCGGCACTGTCGGTATGTGGTGTTTGACCAGTTGTGGAGCAAATGTGGTGTGTGGTGTGTTGATATGTTGGTAGGTTCAGATCTGGTTTGATGGTGGTAGTGATGTGATCGTGGTGTTGTTATTATTGGCGGTGGGTAGAGGCGACGGGATGAAGAGTGTATGTGACAACTATTTGGTTGATTTGTATTGGTGGTGGATCGAGGGTATTTTTTTTGCTGTATATGACCAACTATTTGGTTCTCTATGACTAACCATTAAACCGTGACCTTAAAATTTGAAAATATGTGATAGATAGATAAACTGTGACCTATAAATTTTTGATCTGTGACCTATAAAACTTTTGAATGGACAATGCTACAAGTACATAATCATTCACATAATACATTACATAAGTCATCATTATGTTCAATAATTATGTACATATAAATTTATCATTTTTTATTTGTGATATTGAAATAATCTGTGACCATTAATTATNTTATCATTTTTTATTTGTGATATTGAAATAATCTGTGACCATTAATTATATATTATTATATTTAATTAATAAAAATATTTTTAATTTATAAATAAATACCTGATTTTTTGCATTTTTTAAACTTAAAATCTGATTTTTGCATTTGTGAAACTTATAGCCTGATTTATGATTTATTTTTTTTCCCCTAACCTCTACTTGCCATGTTAATGTGAAATTAATTAAGGCCCTGTTTGATTTACATTATTTTTCTCATTCTCATTCTTCTACTTATTTTCAATCACACATTTTTTAATAAAATAATATTTTTCATCATATCAATAATTTTTTCTTCTTTTTCAACCTCATATTTCCCATCACATCAAGAGTAAATTCACTATTTTAAAATATTTTAAAAGAGGAATGGACTCAAACGGTACATACTTTTGTTCACATTTTTAGGCACCACATATTATCTATTTATGCATAATTTACTTATAATTTAAATTATTTTATAAACACATGCTTCTATTTTTCCAAATATGAGAGCGTGTTAGAAATTCTCATAAGAAGTTTTTTACAAGTTTTTGACTTTAATTATTGCCTATTAACAGAGTTGGTACCAAAAGTTGGACGCCCAAAAGTGACTTGGCCCCTGTTTGGTGCACATTTTGAGAGTAAGAATATATTTTTACTCTTGATGTGATGAGGAATATGAAATTGAAAAAGAAGGAAAAATTATTGATGTGATGAAAAATATTATTTTATTGAATAATGTGTGGTTAAAAATAAAAATAAATAAATAATATATATATATATAAAGCATATGATTTGTACGCAGAGGGAAATTGACAAAAACTGAAAAACTCAAAAAAGAGTTCCCACCTTTCCCTAAGTCTACTCTCTTTTCAAGTCCCCGCCAAACACCTCCCTATATCCCGCCACCCCATGTCACCCAACCCACCCCACCCCCACCCACCCATTTATACCCCGTCTCCTCGCCGACTGAGCCATTGAATCACTTTACTTTTATTAATACATTAATCTCCATTCTTCCGTAGGGTAGCAGCAATCACCAATGGCTAACGTCAGCGACCTCCCATGCGACGCCGATGGCACCTGCATGGTGTGCAAGAAGAAGGCACCGGATGGCGAGACCCTCACCTGCAAGACGTGTGTCACTCCCTGGCACAGCACTTGTCTCTCAGTGCAACTGAAAACCCTAGCTGATGCTTCCCGCTGGGAGTGTCCCGACTGCTCA